ATTGAATAAGTTTCATCACCTCATCTTTTCTTCAAGGTATATTATTGCATCTGCATATAATTTCTATTTTCTACTTTGTTTTTTTAAAGGTTTCATCCTTGGTGGGTGACCCAATAGCTGCAACAGTTTCACAAAATGATAAATCTGAATATGGCACAAAAGACTTCGACATATAAGTTATAAAAATCTTCATTTTTTAAAGAAACAAGGTGTGTTGGGTGTTAAAAAGATTGAAAAACTATCATTTTGTGAACATTGCATTTATGATAAGCAAAAGAAACTATCATTTGCTACAGGTATCCGTAAATCTAAGGCAATACCTTATTACCTTCATGCTAATCTTTGGGGACTAGCCTCTGTATGTACTTACTCTGGCTTTAAATACTTTATTCTCATGATTGATTGTTTTCTAAGAAAAGTTGGATTATCCTATTAAAAAGCAAATCTGACACTTGCCAAAATTTTAAGGATTGAAAAACTCTTATTGAAATCAAGTAAAAAAAATATTAAAGTTCTTTTAATTGAAAATGGATTTGAATTCTGCAATTAAGAGTTTGATAACTTTTGTAAAGAAAATGGTATTCTTAGACATAGGACAATCACATATACTCCTTAACAAAATAGACTAACTAGAAGGATGAATAGGACATTTTAGAAAAAGTTAGAGCATGCTTATCAGTTCTGGTATCCCAAACTATTCTAGGGTGGTATCCCAAACTATTCTAGGGAGAAGCTGTAAAAACTGCAGCATACTTGATAAACAAATGTCCTACAAAGTCCTTGAACTATGACACTCCTAATCTTGTCTAGAATGGTCATTGTATTGATTATTCTAAACTAAGAGTGTTTAGATGTGCTGCATATGCACATCAAGATGAAGGAAAATTAGAACCTAGGTCCATTAAAGGTAATTTTTAGGATATGGAAAAGGAGTAAAAGGATATAGAGTTTGGCTAACGGGCCAGGGTGGGCACAGGATTATCATTAGTAGAAATGTGGTCTCTAATAAGAATGACATTCCCTGTATTAAAGAAAAAGACAACTGTACTTCTAAAAATGGTGAGGATAAAAAAATATGTGAGATCTGATCTTTGGTCCACAAAGTCGAGTCTTGGAAATGAAGAACAGGCTGAGGTTGAAGTGGAGCATGAAGATAAGATTGAGTTGGAACAATCTCATATTCTTAATCCGAAAACTGAACCTGAACCTAAATATACTGAATTCGAACCACATATAAATCTTCCAGAAAATTATCATCTTGCTAGGGATAAGGTGAGAAGAGAAATTACAGCACCATCCAGATTTTGTTACTGCATTTAATGTCAAAAAAATTTAAATAATAAGCCTGGTTCCTATGAAAAGCTATTGGGGAAAAAGATGCAAGTCTTTTGCTTGCAACCATGAAAGATGAATTACATTCTTTAAGCGAAAACAAGACGTGGACCCTGTTAATAAACAAAAAGACAAAAGTTTATTGACTATAAGTGGATTTATAAAATAAAATAAGGTGAATCTAAGATGAAAAATGTAAGATTCAAGGCAAGGTCCGTTGCTAAGGGTTTTATCCAAAGAGAAGGAATAGATTACACTAAAATATTTTCTCCTTTAATCAAATATGCTTCCATAAGTGTTTTATTATCTCTTGTTTCTCAATTTGAATTTGAATTGAAATAGTTGGACGTGAAAACTACTACTTTTTTAAATGGAAACTAGGGTGAAAATATTTATATGACTCAACTTAAGGACTTTGAACAAAGTGGAAAAAAAACTGTGTACCTTTTAATAAATCTTTATATAGTGTGAAACAAGTTCCCACACAATGGTATAAAAGGTTTGATACCTTTATAAAGGGGGCTTGATTTCAATTTTCAATAGAAATGAGGTCCAAACTCTTATTTACTTTCATTTTATGTTGATGATATATTATTTGTTGGGTGTGAGATGACTGAAATAAACAAGAGCAAACAGAAGTTAAAACTTGAATTTGAAATGAAAGAGTTAAGATCTGTAAGAAAGACTTTAGGAATGGAAATTAAAAGAGATAGAGCATATTAGAATAAATAAAATTCTCTATACAAACGTTGTTGGTTCAATGATGTATATTATGGTATGTATCAGCCCTGACTTGTCCTTTGCCTTAAGTGTTCTTAGTAGATTTACGAGTAATCTTGGTGAGAGCCACACTGGGAAGTCATGAAATGGTTATTAAATTATCTAAAAGGAACTTATAACGTGGGGTTACTGTTTAATAAGGATAAAGAGGGAATTAACTTGAAAGGCTTTATCGATTCAGATTTTGCTGATAGTAGTGACAATAGGAAATCTACCTCTGCCTATGCGTTTACTTTAAATAATACTTGCATTAGCTAAAAATCTCAATTATAGAAAATCAGGACTCTGTTATCTACAGAATTGCAACCCCCTGTAAAAAAGGGTATTCAATTAAAAGGTTTTTTAAATGAAATTGAATCATATGTTTTGATAGTCAATCTGTAATACATTTGAGTAGGAATCATGCTTTTCATGATTGGACAAGAAACTGGACAAAGTGTCCTTTTTTAATACATATTTGGAAGTTGGCCACTTTTTATTGAGATTTGATGAAATAACAATTTTATGAATAAGGTGACTAAAATGCCCTTATAAATCCGATAAATTCATGAATAGGTCCCAAAAATATCTTTTTACCCAAATTCTTTTGTTTCTCTATTAGAAGTTAAAAAAATAAAAAATAAAAATAATCAATATCTATCAAAGAGACAACATTTTCATCGGAATATTGCTATTTATTAGTTCAACCGGCTCCTCTCCACATAATGTATTACTACATGAAGAGAGCTTCATTTTTCGAGTAAAATGTATATTGCCGTTGTTGCCATTGTTGAGTTTGCTGTATGTATACAGTGCGTGTTCCCAAAATTGGTGTTAAACGTGTTTGTGAAATATGACTTTGTTCGTGGAGCATTTGACCAGATGATGACAAATGGTTGATGGTTGAACGTTGTATTTAGCTTCTGAATTCTTCTAAGGCTTAAGACTTTTCACTCGACTTCTATTATGACACTTTAGTTTATTCTAGCTTTTGGTTTTGAGAGAAAACACCCCTTTAGTTAGGGTTATTCATTCTCTCTCGAAAACCTCATTCAAGATACTCAAATCTTCTACTTCCTTTTTGTTTGTTGGTTTGATACTTAGTGAAAGCGATGGAGGATGTTGTATTCCCACGCCGTAATCTCTGTAAAGGGTTAAGTGTGGTTTGATGAGTTCTTGGTGAACAATAACTAGAATATTTTAAATTTTTATCAAAAGATAAGTTTTTTGTGACTTGATATTTATATATTGTGAACATTTTGCAACCTTGGTTGCTATTTTTGTTGTTATAGTACAAATGAGCATTATCTACTTTTGTGGATGTTTATTAGGAGATTATGTGTTAGGAGTGATCACGGAACCTTTAGGGCTTAGGCCGAAAATTTCTTGTATTCTTGTTTCTTTATTTTCTATAAGTATTTTTTTTTTTTAGGCAAAATCATTTATAACTAAATGACTATTCTTGAAAGATGATGATTTACATTTTTGACGATTACATTAAAACTTTTATGTCTGAGTTTATTATGAACCGCGAGATGGTATCTTTGCCTCCTACCATGTAATTCTTGTTCTCATGTTGTATTGAATAAGTTTCATCACCTCATCTTTTCTTCAAGGTATATTATTGCATCTGCATATAATTTCTATTTTCTACTTTGACATGAGAGCTTTAAATTCAATTTAAAGATAATTAGAATCTTTATTTTGCTTGCATATAAACATAATAAGTTCTACTTTGGCTCATGAATCCATTCATATTTTCTGTTGGAAAAGGATCAAAAAGCATTACACAAACAAATATATGCAATGGAGGATGATTGCTCTTATCAAGAATTATTCTCCGTAACTTCTCTCAACGTATCTTTGCACTTTGTTTTATATTTTTTATATAACCAGTTACGAAGATAAATTTTACCAAGAATTGGGTTATATATATATATAATGAATTTCAGGGAATTGAATTACCTATAAATTGTTTTATTAGGAATTGTAAATTATTGTGTTTGATTGGTATAATTTTTTACGTGAAAAATGTTGAAATAAAAATATTTTTTTGATATTCGTTTGGCTTTGTTTTACATGAAAATTGTCAATTAAAGGGATTGAATTTATTGGTATGGGGGATGAAATTTATTTCCATTTCCAAAAAAAATAATAATAATAAAATAAAATTCAAAAAAATCATTTACCTTTTGGTGTTTGTTCAGCTTTGTTTTACATAAAAATTGTCAATTAAAGAGAAATATTTTTTTAAAATAATTTTTAGAATTTATTTTCGTTGCAAAAAAAACAAAAAACAAAAAAAGAAAACCGTCAACAGTAACCGGGAAAATCAATTCCCACCAATACGGTGGGAATTGATATTCTCACAAAAGCAAGAAAAATGCAATTCCCAAGAAATCCAAGAATTCATATTTCATGAAAAATAAATCTCAATCAAACACAGCAAAGTTGGAATCCAAATTCCATTTTCCATGGAAATAAATTGCCAATCAGACGGTGCCTATATATATCTTGATCTTTATCTTCTAATATTCGATAATTATAGAAGTGCTTCTTCGATAATTATGGAAGTGCTTCTCCCAAACCCATATCAATAAACCTAAAAAAATCTTTCGAATTGTGGACTTCTCGAGATAAGATCCATCCATGGAATCTTAAGTTTGTAAATCATTCAAATGCTTATGAAGTGTTCTCTAACACTATGTTGTCATTGACTGCATACAATCATTTATTATGGTCTCTAAACTATATCAAATATAAGAAATAAATGCTTATATTTCTTGAGAGTAAAATTATTCAGCATGGATATAGTTGAGTAAGGATGCAAAACTCTCCCAAAAATAAATAAATAAACAAAAAAAACAAAACAAAACAAAAGAATAGAAAGTAAGCATAAATCGAAATAATAAGATCAAGAAATTGTGCACTGAAATTTCTCCTCAATATTGAAGCTTTCTACTTTAGTGTGTACATACAAATGACAAGTAATCAGTACATCTTAAACGCAGAGCACATGAGATCACATTTGAATGTCATCCCACCTCAACTTCATATAACATTAAGTATGAGTTCGGTATTGAGTACTAGCCGGCACAGTAACACTGTCCAATATTGTCCAATCCACATTACCAAATGTACTACCTAATTAACTTAGTTGATTTCGGAGTTATGCGTTCTTTGAAGACTGACAAGTGAATAATATGCTCCTGTTGGCCCTTTAGCCAACAAGGAAGAGTGATTTCCCTTTTCAACTACCTTTCCTTTATCTAAAACAGCAATCACGTTGCAATTCTGTATGGTACTTAGCCTGTGTGCCACAACTACACTAGTCCTTCCAACCATCACATGCTCAAGTGCATCTTGCACCACTTTCTCCGATTGGCTATCGAGGGCACTGGTCGCCTCATCTAATAATAAAATGGTTGGATTTTTTAAGATGGCGCAAGCTATTGCGATTCTTTGCTTCTGGCCACCAGATAGCTGTAGCCCTCGGTCCCCACACCACGTGTCATATCCATCCTTCAGGCCAGCAATGAAATCATGAGCATTTGCTACCTTGGCTGCCTCGATAACTTCTGATTCATCAATATCTTCGGATGCACCATAGGTAATATTTTGGCGTATGGTACCAGCAAATAACGTTGGCTCTTGGCTAACAAGTGCAATGTGCTTCCTTAGTGATCTTAAGTGATATGACCTGATATCTCGTCCATCAATCTTCACAACACCTTTAAGTGGATCGTAAAATCTTTCTATTAAGCCAATAATAGTTGATTTTCCTGACCCACTTTGTCCTACTAATGCAGTCGATTTTCCTGCTTCAATGTTAATCGAAAACCCTATGAAGACCATTACATTGGGCCTGGCAGGGTAGGAAAAATCAACACCATGCAATTCAACATGGCCAGTTAACTTAACAGGTTTGTAGCCCTCCGGATCTTCAGGTTCGATTAATGAACATCGATCCAACACAGCAAATACTGATCCAACTGCATCTAAACCTTTAGCTAGATCGTTTGTCATAGTCCCAGCATCAGCAATGATACGGCCAGTGCTCACCAAAATCATGAAAGTTTGGAATAATGCTTTTGCTCCAATGAAGCCTTCTACAATAAGTTTACCACCATACCAAAAATCTAAAGCCCAAGTGCAAGTCATTAGGCTCTGGGAGGTAGCCAGTCCAACACCAGCAAACCATGACTGGCGGATACTTTCCTTTTGTGGGCCTTCTTGGGCTTTCTTGAACATCTTGAGAATTCGGGCTTGGGACGAGAAGGCTATCACAGTTCTGAGATTGGATACAGCTTCTGCTGCAAGTTTGCTACTTTCATCTTGGGCTTTAATGGCCTTTCTAGACATGTTTTTCAGGAGGACACGCTTGCAATAAAAACGACTTATGATAAGTGGTTGCACGGCTATCATTACCAATGCGAGCTTCCATGCAATTACCAGTGGTTCTTTCGTATCTCTTTTCATCTAAGTGATAGTTAGGTTTTTCTTGAGTAAATCTGTAATCTACTCTTTGTGGTTTCAATCTCTTTCTTTGTGAGTTTTGATTGTTTTGTACAGTCATATTGAGATTGTGAGGTATTTTGATTGTAGTGTTGTATAATAGAGAGGCAACAAAAAACTTGAAGAAATCGTTACATTTGTATTGATTTTTGGTTGATATTGGCAAATCTAGAGCATAATCTCATGGTAGATGCTCAACGGGTGAGTAAGTCGAAAGACTGAACATCCCGGCCCTATTTCGTGGCAAAAACATATCGATTGTCTTGCGTTTTTAAATTCTTGCAATTTTATTTGTTGTTTTTACAAATCGATCATTTACGATATATGCATTTTGGCATAACAAGTGGTATCAGAGTCACTAGATGATACAGCCTGGAGTACTATTTTTCTTCACCCATCTGACATTGTGATTAGGAAAGTGGGAGAAACTACCTCTGCTGAAGCTTTATGGTCTAAGTTCGGAACACTTTACCTAACCAAATCCATGCCTAATAAATGTTATCTCTTAAGGTAGTTCTATAACTTTAGATTTGATCCATCTTCTAGCCTAGAAGAAAATCTTGACAAATTTACCAAATTGATTTAGGACTTAGAAAACTGTGATGAAAAGCTCTCAGATGATCAACAAGTAATTGTCTTATTGAATTCTATAAGTGACAGGGATATCAGGAATGCTTTGGAATATGGGGGCAGGATCTTACCATAGATATAATTACCTTAGCCTTGAGGAACAAAAAGCCTGAATTAAAAACTGAGTCTAAAGACTTTAAGTTTGGAGAAGTACACATAAATAGAAAGCAAATCATAAAAAGAAACAGAACCAGTGCAATTTCAATTCTCATAAGGAAAATCTCAAAATTACAGACCGAAAGACAAAAATAAAAACCAGAACAGGAAGTGCTATTATTGTGGAAAAATTGGACACCTAATAAAAGATTGTTTCAAGAAAATCTCTGACATGAAGGATATGAACAACACTGATGACTCTACAGCTGTGGCCTGTAAGTTTGAATCTGATATTCAGGGTATTATTCTTGTTAGCACTACCAGAAGAGACCCAAAGGAATGGGTTCTTGATTCTGGCTGCACTTTCCATATGTGTCCTAGTAAGAATGTTTTTCTAAGTTGTCGATCTCAATGGAAGACAAATTCAGATGGGAAATGACATGAGTTGTCAAATATAGGGAATTAGTAAAGTAAGATTGTTGTTAGATAACAACTATATTCTTGAGGTGGAAAACACTAGATATGTTTCTGAACTTAAAAGGAAATTTATTTCCTTAGGAGAATTAGATAAAATATATATAATATCATGATTCACAAGAGTCTTATAAGACTACATCAAGGAAATAAGAATGTAATTTCCTCTCCTAAGATAAATGGCATATATACTGTTTTTGCTAAATCTATAATAAGCTATTGTACAACTGCCTTGAATTCTGAGTCAAACAAGGCTTTATTGTGGCACAAAGACTAGGCCATATTTCAAAAAAGAGACTAATCATTCTAAACAAACTATGATGTTGAAGTTGAACTTCTTGTAAAATTTGTATAATTGGAAAATAGAAAAAGTTTCCTTTTAAGACTGGAACCCCATAAATCCACCTCTATTCTAAACTATTTACATGCTGACCTATGGGGTTCAGTATCTGTAAATACCCTAAGTGGGTTTATGTTCTATTTGCTTATAGTAGATTATTTTTCAAAGAAAATCCGGACTTTCCTCTTAAAACAAAGTCTGATACTTTTCGAATATTCAAACAACGGAAGTCAATGATTGATAATCAAACAAATAAGAAAATTAAAGCATCAAGGACTGACAAAGGAATAGAGTTTTGCAACTTTGAATTTAACTCATTTTGTACAGAATCTGGGATTCTAAGACACAGAATTGTAACATACACTCCTCATCAAAATGATGTAGCTGAAAGAATAAACGGACCTTATTGGAAAAGGTGAGATTTATGTTGTACAGTTCTAGTCTTCCCATGTTCTTTTGGGGGGTGAAGCCCTAAAAGCTGACACTCACCTTATAAATAGAAGTCTATCTAGTGCTATTGACTTTCAAGTTCCTGAAAAATTGTGGTATGAAAAAATACCTAATTATAGTAAACTTAAATTGTTTGGTTGTGCTGCCAATTCCCACTTGAGTGAAGGTAAACTTGAACCTAGGCTCCAAAAAATGTGTTTTCTTGGACTATGAAGAGGAAACCAAAGGTATAGACTTTAGCTCAGAAGCTAAAATGGTTTCAAAGTAATAGTCAGCAGAGATGTCATTTGACATGCCTTACAAAGAATCTATAGACTCTAAACTCCTAAATATGTACCTGTTATAGAAACCATCCGGGAATCAAAAATTGAAAATGATGTTAATCAAGATGATTTTATTAAGGTGGAGTCCACCCAACTGCTCACTTTAACTGGGAATTGGATCAGCTTGATTTTAAAATAGCTTTTCTAAATGATGACGTTGATGAGATTATATATGTGAATCAGCCTTTGGGGTTTAAAGTTAAATCTAAAACTGATAAGGTCTGTTTGTTAAAAAAAAAAAAAATCTCTTTATAGGTTTAAGCAAGCTTCCAGACAATGATATTTGAAATTTAATTCATTTGTACAGATTTTGGGTTTTGTGAAAAGCAATGATGACTCCTATCTTTTCTATAAAGGTTCAGGTGAACTTGTATATGTTGATAATATGCTATTTGCTTATCATGATAGAACTGAAATTGACCTCATTAAGCCAAAGTTAAAATCCAGATTTGAAATGAATGATTTAGGACAAGCAAAAAGAATTCTAGGAATGGAAATAGAAAGAGATAGAAATAATTACACACTAATACTGAAACGGGGTTCCTATGTGAAGAAAATTCTTGAGAAATTGCCTATGCTTGAATGTGAACATGTTACTCTCCCCATTGCTAATCACTTTAAACTGTTTGGTAAACAGTCACCTAAAACAGATGATGAATACAATAGAATGGAAAAAATCCTTATGCTAATGCTGTAGGTTCCATAATGTACCTTATAGTTTGCACCAGACCTGACTTAGCACATGACATTAGCACTCTAAGTAGATTTATGGCTAATTCTAGTGAAACACACTGGTTGGCAATGAAATGGATGTTAAGATACTTAAAAGGCTAATTTGACTTGGGACTGATGTTTAAAAGAAGCAATGATGAGATAAAACTGAAAGGATATACTGACTCTAACTTTGCAGGTGACTTAAGTATGAGAAGATCCACCTCTTCTTATATTTTTACCTTATGTGATGGTTGTATTAGTTGGAAGTCACAGCTACAAAAACTAGTTACCTTGTCCTCTACTTAAGCTGAATATATTGTTGCGTGTGATGCTGTAAAAGAAGGCACTTGGCTAAGGGGTCTATTAAAAGATATTGGTTTTGCAAATGATTCTATTACTATTTACATTGATGATCAAAGTGCAATTCACCTTAGTAAAACCCTTGTATATTATAATAGGATCAAACATGTAGACATAAAATTTCATTTTGTACGAAATATGGTTGAAAAAGATCAGGTCAGGTTAGTGAAAATTCATACAAAATTTAATCCCTCAAACTTGGAGACTAAGGTACTGCCTCTAAATAAATTTAAAAATTGCTTGAAGATTCTAAATATCACTTAAGGCATTGATAGATTAGAACTTCAAGTATCATTGTTAAAAGGTTTGAATTGACTGAACTTTTTACAGGTACTTAGAGCAAATGAATAACTCTAGATCCAATTTTAAAGGCCAAGAATTAGTTTAGCAATGTGGACATTGTTAAACTAAGTTGGGCAGTCTCACTATTATTCTTGACGTGTTGGGGCGAAGCTGTTGGGTCTGTTTTTATGTTCGGTTAAAATGTAGCCTTATTAAAATTGTGTTTCTTGGTCTTACACTTTTGCCTCTTATTTAAGGGTTGAAAATCTGCTGTCCATGTGGCTGCTTTGTGGCCTTTGGATTGTGACTTTTTGGCTGAACAGGTAAATAATTGGTCTCGCTTTTTTTTATTCAGTTTTGTGAGACTTTTCATTTCTTGGTTCTTTCGTCTCTCTTTTCATTCAAGTGATAGTTAGGTTTTTCTTGAGTAAATCTGTAATCTACTCTTTGTGGGTTCAATCTCTTTCTTTGTGAGTTTTGATTGTTTCGTACAGTCATGTTGAGATTGTAAGGTATTTTGGTTACAAGTATAATAGAGAGGCAACAAAAAACTTGAAAAAATCGTTGATTTCTTCATACATTTGTACTGATTTTTGGTTGATATTGGTGGATCTAGAGCATAATCTCGTGGTAGATGTTCAACGGGTGACTAAGTCGAAATACTGAACATCCAAACCCTATTTAAGGGCAAAAATATATCAATTGTTTTGCGTTTTTAAATTCTTGCAATTTTATTTGTTGTTTGTACAAATTGATCCTTTCCGATATATGCATTTTGGCATAACAAGATGTTTATTCATTTAAAAATTACTTTAATTACGTCCTTCAACGGGTAAACCAGATTTATTTTTCTGTTAGACGACTAATATGAGCAGAATTTCATAAACGGATGACTGTGAAATTTCAACGGGAATTTTTTTATAGGTTAAAACATTAGAGAAAGACTACACGTATTAATTTTAAGTGCGACGTCATAATATTGTCTTCACCAAATCCTAAAGTGCATTTTTGCTGAAAAAAGAAAAATCCAACTTTTCCATAAATGCACTCTTCACCTCACTCGCCAGTGGTCTACAAAATTAAAACAATTATGCTACATGTACACTAGTTTGACGAAAATTCTATCAAATAATGAGGTGACATGCATTAAAAGGGGGGGGGGGGGGGGGTTGGAGACAAACCTCGTTGATGTTATGAGTGAAATTCTGTGTAATCGAATTGGTTGCACTGCCAAAACTGTTCATGAGTTTGCTGGTCATTAAAAGCATAGCTGGTACGGAAATTCCATCACCAAT